ACCACCGCTTTCTTCAACGCGATCTCTCGCGGTATCTGGACGTGACATCCAGCGTGCATAGGATTATATTTATTCACATTCACCGTTAAATTTAGAATTCGCGATAACGCCCATCCGCTATCGCGCTCTTGAAACTCCTCCAGCGAAGCTAAAGTAGCGTCGACCACACGCTTCCCATACCACTCTTGCAAATCGGAGTAGAATAGAAGCGGATAATTCTTCGTAACGATAGTCTTAATATCAATCTTGTCACCTGAGACGAACTCACCGATAAACACGGTATTTAACACTGTACTGTTATGTTCATCTATAGCATCGAAGGTTCGATATAATCGAAGTTGATAACCGCGCCGGTTAAAATGCGTCTAGAGAAAGCTGTCTCCATCTCAAACCACGAGAATTCTTCGCGCCTCTCTACGCCGCCTCCCACGCGTTCGAAACGTCGACGCAGTTCGTCTCTCGCGCCCGTCAATCGAACGGTTCGAGCGATCAGAGAATTGATCGCTCCGGTGGATCTCCCCCGGCGCTCGCCTCGAGACCCGTCCCGCAGAAACTCGAGACACTCGTCGCACCGTCTCGCCCACGCGCGATACGCGTCCACCGTCGAGACATCCCGCGCGCTATTAAGAAGATCGCGCTCCTCCATCGTTTCTCGATTCATCACTCGTCGTTTAACGAAAGCCAAGATCTTTTATTGATAAACCACGTCTCTTCCTCGTCGTAACCCTCGATATAGAACAAAGCTCTCGTCGCGCAGCCGTCGCACCAATTATTCGACACGTCGAAGACTTCGTCGATAAGATCGCAGGCGGGCACTCTCTCGCTATACAACGATTTTTTCATATGAGTCGATACGCTTCTCAAGAAGCTCGATCTATGCGCGCATTCCACGCAATATCTTACATCTTCCTCGAAATAATTTCCGTTCTCGAATTGGCAAGCGAATGTATGGAAGCAATGCACGACGTGATTCACCTCCCACGAAAAGTTTGGAATTCCGTATCGCCGTTTCCAATTGCGATAAAGCAAATAGCCATCGGCTCCGACATTCGAGAAAGGCTCGTCGAATCGCGCCTCGCTCCGCAAAACAAACAATATCGCTCAACGCTGCGGAGTCTTCGACGAAAAGCGCGAGCGATCGTAAAATACTGTTCAATCAGGGGAAAATAATACAGGAACTAACCCAAAAATCGCGCGTCGCCGCGAATTCTGCGGCTGATTCTGCGGTGAAAATACGAGAATTAGAAAATTCAACATCGCGATTGAAGAGAGACGCGGACGAGCTATCGGGGAGAGTGACGAAACTAGCGAAGATTCGTGAGACCAGCGGCGACACTCGGAGCGGCGAGCCGCTCGAGAGAGAGATCCCACCCAACGTCATCCTTGAGAAAAAGAGAAGAGAATTATGAGCGTCGAAAAACGAAGACTAGTCGAACGTCTCCCTCGGCGCCGGATACCCGGCATCCGCTCGCGGATCGCGCGCTGGAAGCAACGCGCATCCCTTAAGAATCGCGATAGCGGATTGCGCGCTAAAAGCAGCGCGAGATATTGTCGTCGCCCCCCTCTTAGGAACGAGTCGCGTCAAGGTCAAGTCGCGATGGGAGAAATATTTAATCGCACACTCAAAAATTCTATGTGGAAATATTTCACGCTAAGCGGAACATATAAATGGATAGACGAATTACCTCGACTCGTTGAGGAATATAACGCGCGAAAACATCGCACAGCGTGGCGAGAAGTTTCTCGTTATGCTTTCCGGGCGGCTTATCGCGCATCGGGCAGAATGGCAAGTTCGCGTATCACGGCCCCTTGAGTGCGAGAGAGAGGTACCCTTGGAGAACGAGAGACAGCGAACACTTTGTTACCAATCGCTGGGGGAGTTCGGGCAGGGGGGAGCCGGTGGGGAGGATCAGGGTGGTACGTAGGGTGAGGAGGAAGCGTGGCCTCGATCGAGCAGAGCGCCATCTCTTGAGCACTCTCGGCGACACGCTTCCCCCCCTTCCTACGTACCCCCCCCCGTTCCTTCC